GCGACACCCTGATCCCGCCCCCGGCCCCACCAGATCCCTCCCCTGGCAGCTGGCCACCCTTCCCCCGACCCCCCATCGCCCCCCCGGTTCCCCCAACCTCAGTGCCTCCAGCTCCAGCAGCTCCTTCCGGGCCCGCTCAGCCTCCGCCTGGTCCAGGATTTTCTGCCGCTCCAGCCGCCCCCGGGCCTCCTGTTCCAGCCGCTCGGCCTCGTGCCTGGGGGAGACGGGCTGGGGTGAGGGGGGCTGGGGCAGGGCTAGGGGGGGAGCCGGCCCCGGGGGAGCCCGTACCTGGCGGCCGCCTCCTGGGAGTTGGTGGTGATCTCGATGGCCAGCTGGACACTCCGCTGCAGCGCGTCCCGCGTGCGCTGGTCCACCGGCTCCACGCTCTGGATGTCCACGCTGCTCACCACCAGCCCGTTCTGGGGGAAGCGCAGGCAGCTCCGCACCTGCAGCTCCGCGTCGAAGCCGAACACGGCCGAGCAGATGATCCGGTTCGAGTTCTGGGGGCAGGGGTGGATTGTGGGGCGCTGGGGGAGCACCCAGAACCCCCATATTCCCCCGCCGCCAGCCTGGCAGGTACAACCATGGGAGCCAGACGCGCGGCCAGCCCAGGGACCCTCCCGGGAAGCGCCGAGCCGTGGGGAAGTGGCGGACGGGGGCCCAGCTCCAGGCTGCATCCCAGGGGGTTCGGGGCGTGGGAGCCCAGGGCTGATCCGGGAGGAGGCAGGCCTGCGGGGGGGGGAGGGGAAGTGCTTGGGGGCTGGGGGGCACGCCGGGGGCTGCGAGGGGGAACACGGGGGCCCCCCGTACCTTGTGGAAGTCGTCGAAGCTGACGGAGGCCACGGCCCCGCGGATGCGGGAGGCCAGCGCTTTGCAGGCGTCTCCCACGAAGTCCGGGACGCTGAAGAGCCGGGAGAGCGCTGGGGGGTCGGGGGGCGACGGCACCTCGAAGTGCCTGGGGGAGACAGCGCGGTTGGGGGGCTGGGGAACAGGCCTCCTCGGTCCCCCTCCCTGCAACCTCCGCCCCCCACTCCCCAGCCTCCCCCCCCCGCCCCAGGCAGACGGCAGGGAAGGGCCAGCGCTGGGCCCAGGGGCAGGGCCCCCAAGAGTGGCCTGGAGACCCCGAGATTGGGGCAGTGCCTGGGCTCCAGCCGGGCCAGCCAAGAGCAGGCTGGGGTGGGGGGCCCCCGACAGGGCCTGTGACACCCCCCTGCTGCCCCTCCCGCCCAGCCCCTCACCAGTTGTAGGCCAGCTGGAGCTGCAGCCGGGCGTGGTCGGCCGTCTCGATGGTGACGATGTCGGTGCAGAAGTCGGGGCCCAGCAGCAGGCAGAGCGAGCGGCGGCTGTGGGGGGTCTTGGGCCGCCCCCCTGACAAGCTCAGCACCGTGAACTGCTCGTCCGGGCCCAGCAGAACCAGCTCCGGGCCCAGCACCACCCTGCGGGGGAGGGGAAGGTGACCCCACACGCCGGGGGAGGGAGCCCCATGAGCTGCATCCAGCCCCCCCCGTAGATAAATCTCTGATCATTTTCATATGACTTTACATTGTGCCTCTTCACATAACCTTGTAGTGGGTCTACCCACATGTGACCTCTGTCTTCATGAAACTTTGTATCAAAACCTCATATAGAAACCTTGCATTGCCCTTGGTATAATGTTATAGCCCCTATTAAGGATAGAATAAGATAGAAGAAAAATGTCTTTTTGCTAGGAGTAGAACAAGATCTTCCCCCCACACACACAATCAATTGCCCTGTTGAATGACCGAGGTGTGGATGAGGAAGGCGTGGAAGGCAGCACCTCCAGACAGCCTCGACCCTTGGAGAGGGGCTGGGAGCCAGACCCAAGGACAATAAAACGTGTC